AGGCCTACTGCTCACCCTAACTGCGGCCAAAATCGGCAGGTCAGAAAAATGCAATCGGTGCTTCTCTAAAGTTGGTAATTACAAATCGAGACCAACTGTAAGACGTAGTACTGAATGACATCAGCACCAACAGGTGTGTTCACTGTTGCTTTACCTGGCCCTTTCTGTAAAATATCCACGTGTCCGCGCCTTCTAACCCAATACAAGACAGCGTCTCTTCCTGTGTGTTTCTCTGCACTGCACGTGTAAATTGCGAGCACTGTGTCTTCAACATCTTTTAGCGTGTGAGGCTGTGACAGTAGCCGGTTACTGTCTGTGCCACTGTGTGTGCCGTTAAATGTGACGGGCAGAAAATCGGATATTTGATGCTGCTCGGACCTGGTCACGGCCTGTTAAGCTGAAAACCGGCCTATTCCAGTCCCCAGCCAATTGATCAGTGCATCTCTAAACAACTAGCCTCCTCCACACGCGACTCACTGTGACTGGATAAGCACCTCATACAGCCCCATTTCAGAAATTGCAAACAATGGAGTCACGTGACGTGGTTGACGAGAATGGCTGCGTGAGGAGTAGTTGCGCCCATCCCAGCACGATATTAACTTTAAAACTTGACAAAGAGTCCAACTTTATGTGAGTTAACATATTAAAAGTTGAAGTTATATGACAATAATGCCAAACAATACCAGAAGTACCACTAATCCTCCAAGAACTGGCTCGGGTGGAACGAAGGCTAACGAAGTGGCTAACGCTAGCCAAGCTAACCAAAAGAAACCGCAGCCTCATGACGAGCCCGACGCTGATGAACCGGACGCTAGCACCATCCCTGGTAATGTAGCCAAAGAGTTTGCTAAACTTACCGCATTAATCCTGGAAAAGTCAGACGCCCACGACAAGAAGCTGGAGGCTATATGGGTGACAACAAGTGCTACAGATAGCAAACTTGCTGAAATTACAAATCGCATTTCTCAAGTCGAGAGCCGTTTGGGCTTCCTCGAGGAGGCTAACGAGAGACAGCAGGCGAATCCTCCAGCCACAGTTACTGAGGTGGAAGCCCTCCGCCATAAACTGGACGACATTGAGAATCGGGAGCGTAGAAATAATTTACGGTTCATCGGGTTTCCTGAGGGCTGCGAGGGCGGTAACACCATGTCATTCCTCATAAAATGCTTACCGGAGATCCTGAACCTCGATTCCCCCGGAGGACTGGAAATTGACAGAGCGCACAGGATTGGTGGATTGCGCAAGGGCTCAGGTCCGGAACATCCCTCGCCAGCAAGACCCATTATCGCCAGATTTCTCAGATTCCAGGACCGAAACCGCATCGCGGAGGCTGCACGCAAGATGGGTATAGTTACCTGGAAGGAGCATCGTATAATGGTCTTCGCCGACTATTCAAAGTTGGTTAATGAGAAGTGCATAAAGTTCAACGAGTGTAAGAAGATGCTCCATGAAAAACGCATGAGATTTTCTCTCGATTACCCGGCAGTGCTCACCGTGAGATCAGCGCAGGGCCCCCGCCGATTTGATGACCATAAAAAAGCCCTGGCTTACATTCATTCCCTTGGTTAACTCGGCGTTACAGTGTTTTGGTGTAATGGTATTGTATCATGGCCTTAAATTGTGGAGGGCTGAGCCCTTGCTTTGCGGATTCTTTTTCTGTTGGTCTTCCTTTGGTCCCGGAGTATATGAGGGTAAAGATGAATCCACTAAATGTTCCATCTTTGACTGTCAAACAGACATTTAGTCGTCTTCTTTTTTGTCGGAACATAAGTGGATAATATTGCTGGAGAGTTTCTGGCTATATGGACTATTGGCGGGTCCTCTGATCCTTTGTTTATTTTTTGTTTATTATTATTCTCTCTCTCTCATTATATCAGGAGGTTTAACTATTGGCGCTTAATTGTAATAGAGGGAAGAGAGAAAAAAAAAAAAAAAAAACCTTAAAGGACTTGATTCACGGGGAGGTTTGGGTTGTTTCCCCTCAGGAGAGGGCTGAGCCCTTCAGTGGGTCTATCACTAGCTCGGACGCGCATGAACACAGAGAGGACTCACCTGGAGGTTAGTAAAATCACTTTATTGTGCTAGGCAACACCGCTGCTTAATTTCATGATGTAAAGTGAGGCTTTATTGGTGAGGCAGCCCAAGCCTTGCCCTTTCAATGTTCGCCCATTTTCTGGTTTATGCATAGGGGCGTCATGGGTCACACAATAATTTTTTGTCTTTATGCAGACTTCTGTTTAATGTGTAACTCGTTGTCTGAGTTCGAAATATCTTCCTCTTTGTTATTATAAGGTTAATGGTTACGCTCGTGTCGGGCAGGTAGGAGGTTGGGTGGTCGTCACTGCCTGATTCTGGGCAGGACATCAGGTGCAGGGTGGGTGGGGCACGGTCATAGCGGCTTTAAGTTAGAGAGTCACGGACCAAACTGAGATTAGTGTTTGCGTCTGGCCTTACAGATGCATTTTTGTTGCTGTTGTTATCTGTATGTTTAATGTAAAATTTAATGTGTTTTTTGTCTCTTATTGTTTAGTGATGTTACTCATAAATAAGTCATTTTGGAAAGTACAGCAAAGCTTGTTTAACACTCATTATACATTATTTCAGCTAGTAGTACAAAAGGGTTGAAACTTATGAGCTGGAATGTCAGAGGCCTCCACAACATAGTGAAGAAGAGGAAGGTATGAACTTTCATTAGATCTAAAAAATGTGATGTGGTATTTATGCAGGAGACCCACTTATTACCACAAGAATCTCAAAAGCTCCGGGGTGATTGGGTGGGCTTTGTGGCGGCTGCCTGTGGCAGTAGCAAGAGCAGAGGAGTGGCTACTCTAGTTAACAAGCGGCTACAATTTAAATGCTTAAAAGAGAGTGCAGATGAGGAAGGGAGAATACTGTTGATGCTTTGTGAGATCCAGGGAAATAGTATTATACTTGCGAATGTGTACGCTCCAAATAGAGACGATCCGGCATTTTTTGGGCTACTTGAGAAGAAACTAAATGATATGGGAGACTATCCAATTATCATGGGGGGTGATTTTAATGAGGTAATGGACCCTATATTAGATCGTAGCTCTCCATCTGTCCGCACCAATAGGGCACACGCAGTGCTCAAAGATATGTCCAAAGCATCCGGTCTAGTAGACATTTGGCGGTTACAAAACCCATCTTCGAGGGATTACACATTCTTCTCTTCACCACATAGCTCGTTTTCCAGAATAGATTTTTTCTTCGTGTCTCATTCACTGGTATCAGCTATGGGGGCGAGTGACATTGGTAATATAATTATTTCAGACCATAGTCCAATATTTCTCCATATTCTGTCCTTTAATAAGCCGGCTAGGTCAACTAGATGGAGACTAAACTCTAGCCTTCTATTAGATGAGACCTTTAAGGAATCACTTAGATCACAAATCAACCTCTATATAGAGTCCAATCTCCCAACGGCTCCATCAGCAGAGGTAGCATGGGAGGCTTTGAAAGCCTTTTTGAGAGGCCACATAATTCAATACTCGTCATTCAGGAAGAAGGAAAACAATACTAAGCTCCAGGAGCTTGAAAAACAGATCATAACGGCAGAATCTAACTTTAAAAAAAATATGTCCTCTGGAAATCTTACCAGGTTGACTAGACTAAAATATGATTTTAATTCAATTATGACCCAGAGGGCAGAATTCTCTCTCTTTCGGGCAAGGCAGAAATATTTTGAGGAGGGTGACAAGGCTGGTAGACTACTTGCCAGGTACATTAAACAAAAAGAAGCAATGAGTACTATTCCTGCTATTAGGAGGGACAATGGGTCTGTCCTGACTGATCCCAAGGAGATTAATACAGTTTTTAGAGACTTTTATGTAAAACTCTATACTTCAGAGGCAGGGGGGGACAGGGATGACATTACATCTTTTCTGTCAACTCTTGATCTGCCGGTGTTGTCGGGGGACCAGCTCGAACGCCTTGAATCACCTGTTACTATTGAGGAGATAAGGGATGTTATTAAACACCTCCCTTCAAGTAAAGCACCGGGTTTAGATGGCTTTACGGCCGAGTTTTATAAAGCTTATGCTGAGGAACTTGCACCATTACTCTTAGGCACCTATAATGACGCTTTCGAGAAGGGTAAACTCCCTCCCTCTTTTTCCGAGGCCATTATCACCCTTATCTTGAAGGAAGGAAAAGACCCTCTAGACTGTAAGAATTTTAGACCTATTAGTTTGACCTCCTGCGACAGTAAAATACTATCTAAAATTGTAGCTAACCGTCTGGACAAGGTAATAACCTCCTTGATCCATCCTGACCAGGTCGGCTTTATACGTTCGCGCTCCTCGGCTGACAACATCAGAAGACTTCTTGATATTATGTAGGCCACTCAGGATAATGCCTCTCCCATGGCTGCTATCACGCTGGACGCCGAAAAGGCGTTTGACAGGGTGGAGTGGCATTATCTGCTCTCCACCCTTGAATGTTTTGGCTTCGGCAAAAAGTTCATAGCTTGGATTGGGCTCATATATACTCATCCCTCAGCGTCAGTGCTTACTAACGGTATCATCTCCCTCCCATTTGAACTGGAAAGAGGCACGAAGCAGGGAGATCCTCTCTCTCCTCTACTTTTTGCAGTTGCACTTGAACCGCTAGCGGTTGCTATACGTAAAGAATCTACATTTCCAGGCATACAAATCGGTGAAAAATGTCATAAATTGATGATGTATGCAGACGATATCCTTTTGTTTGTCACAGATCCCGAACAGTCTCTTGCATCACTATTCAAAATTATTGACAAGTTCTCATCCATTTCGGGCTATAAAGTCAACTGGACAAAATCTGAGGCTCTTCCTCTCACTCCATATTGTCCCAAATCCCTCTTCCAGTCAGGCACTTTTGCCTGGCCTAAGAAAGGCATTAAATATCTTGGTTTAACATCCCCCCCCATATTGACGGATCTGGTTAAAACAAACTTTGACCCCCTACTGGACAAACTGCAGACTGACTTAGAGCGGTGGTCTCCATTATCTCATTATCTCCAGTGTTCTCTCTATGTGGGGGAAGGCAAACATCATTAAAATGATTTGTGCTCCGAAATTTAACTATTTGCTACAGGCTATGCCAGTCCGAATTCCTTTGCGCTATTTCAAACAATTTGATCAACTTTGTAATACATTTTTATGGAATAATAAACGCCCCAGGATGAACCTGCGAAAGCTGCAGAGGCCAGTGGACAAAGGAGGATTAGGTGTGCCCAACTTGCTTTTTTACCATTATGCGTTTACCATTAGGCATATGGCACAGTGGTCTTTACCCCCGGAGAGAGCCCCTCCGTGGTTCCACCTCGAAAGCGCGGTGTCCTCCCCTCTCACACCCATTGCATGCATCTCAGCTAAATTAGCCCAACAGTATCAGTCACATCCCATTTTGTCTCATATTCAGTGGGTCTGGAAGAGAGTAGCTAAGATTCTTAAATTTGATCCGTATCTGCACCAGGCTGCCGGGATCTGGCTAAATCCCAAGCTCTGTATAAATAAATCTCCCTTCCTTTGGAAGCTTTGGTTGCAAAAAGGGATTAGGGTGCTCGGTGACTTGTACCAGGATGGGACATTAAAGTCTTTTGAGGCACTTAGTCAGGAATTTGACTTACCACGTAATCAACAGTGGAAGTATTTTCAGTTAAGACACCTACTGGTGCAGATCTTCGGCTCCCCTTCAGTAGTCCCACCGAGCGGTGACATATTGGAGAAGGTTTTAACAATCTATGGGCGTGGCCATGAAGCCTCTGCCTACTACGCTATGATCCTTATGGCCTCGGACTCTAATATTTTGTCCCTGAAAATGACATGGGAAACTGATTTAAAGGTGTCATTTACAGATGCAGAATGGGGCAGAATTCTTAGCAATGGGAAAAAAATGTCAAGGGAATTGCGAACGCGACTTATCCAATTCAAAATACTGAATAGAATCTATTGGACACCATCCACGCTGCATAAGGTTGGTTTGGTTGATAACTCAGAATGCTGGAGGTGTCAGGACAAAAATGGTACCTTTGTACACATGCTCTGGAGTTGCCCGAAAATTCAGGCATTTTGGTCTGGAAGAGAGTAGCTAAGATTCTTAAATTTGATCCGTATCTGCACCAGGCTGCAGGGATCTGGCTAAATCCCAAGCTCTGTATAAATAAATCTCCCTTCCTTTGGAAGCTTTGGTTGCAAAAAGGGATTAGGGTGCTCGGTGACTTGTACCAGGATGGGACATTAAAGTCTTTTGAGGCACTTAGTCAGGAATTTGACTTACCACGTAATCAACAGTGGAAGTATCTGCATACAATTGTAGAGAAAATTGTCGAACAGAATATCCCACTCACCCCTAGTCTGTTTATTTTGGGGGACCCCTCTGCATTAAGTGACCTGGCCCCTCCACTCTCTAACTGGATCCAGACTGTCCTCATGCTAGGCCGGAAACTTGTGGTCAAAGAATGGAAAGCCCCCTCTGCACCAGCACTGGATTTGTGGTACGCCACTCTGGGTCAGCTGGCTGCCCTTGAACATCTGTCCTATAGGTTGCTTGATAAAGTGGAGGAGTACAACTTGAAATGGGGGAAGTTTCATTCGTACACCTTGAAGGTTTAACAGCGTTCCAGCTCAAAAACATAGCATTTAACTAGAAAACAAGATTGATGGATACTTTTGGATAGAATACGGTACCTACATTTAGGCAAGGCTGTAACTCAAGGGCTAGGTGCATCACTGCTTTATTTTATTTTATTATTATTATTTTTAATTAATTAATTTATTTATTTTATTTTCTCTATTATTTTCTAAATGTATTTAGTTTTTGTCTATGGGCGTGCCACGTCCTCCTTTCATTCTATTTTGTTGTATGAGTATTGCTTTATTTTTCGGAAGGAATGTGTGTGTGTTCAAATGTTCTGAAAAATCAATAAAATGTTAATCATAAAAAGAAATTGCAAACAATCCCTTTAAGGTTAGTTTGGGCAGAAATCATCCCACCACTTTGACTGAAGGTGATGACCAATGATTACTTTTAGCTACCTCATTAGATTTACACTGGACTCACACAGGCGGCGTGTGCACCGCGTTACGGCTGCTCCACGGCTGCCGTACCTCATCGCTACCATTGAAGTCAATGCTTGTGCTCACACTAGGAGCGCAGCAGCGCGTCCCAGAAGATTAGTACTATAAGAAAAGTACTTGAAGATATGTTGAAATGCTGAAATGATGCTGTTTTGTTGAGAAGATGTTGAGCTGTGATAGTGATGATTGTGGCCCTTACATCAGTGCAGTGTCTGCATTTTGCTAAATAAAAAAGATACACTTTAGACCCTAATGTCCAGATTTCTTCTTATAACCATGTATTATGGATAAGCAATGAGAAGGTAGAAACCACATGGGAGTTTGTATGAACAATAGAGAGATGTGTTCATGATACCTAATATTTTATTTATTATTTTATTTTTTTTTATTGTGTGCAAGGAGTTTTTAAAATGAGTTGTATAATAGTTGTATTGATGTAATAACTGTTTGTACACTTTACAAAATAGATTTTTGGTTCTAAACACAAAACACACCTGTCCTTACAATAATAAACAATAATATATACATTTAACAACTTAAACATAACTTGTGTTACATATACTAGATATTCCCACATAATTTGACATATAATTTGATGTTATCAAAACACAAAATATTATATATCATGTGGTTGAAAAATTTGTGTAGAACTGACAGAAATCTTAGTACTAAAAAGTTTCCAAAGTTTTCCAAAAAAAATTTGAGTAGAGTGAACGAATTTGAATTTAGCTGATTAATAAAAAATGTTATTTTCAGTAGACTTTAAAATTACAATATGCAATTGCTGTTTGTACATAAAATGATAGTTATTAAAGATCATTTTTTTGTGGTTAATAAACATAAAAATTTGAATTCAGTGGCCTTGTAATTTTTATTCATATAACTTATACATTTTCTGTTAACGTGATACAAATTTAAATGCTGAAACAGTACAACTTATTTTGTCGCGTAATTAAAAAAGTTATGTTGAACTGACGTACATTTTCAGTCAGACAAGGGTCATGTGACGCAATCATTTTGTGTCAGGTGTACTCATACTTTCACGTTACTGTATTTTACTAACTAAACGTTTTGAGTACAGGCTGTTTCAAAGAGGTGCAGGCTAGGTGTGTGTGAGTGTGGGGAGAAGAGCAGAGGAGCAGATTCAAGTAAATAAAAACTAATCTAAGGTGGAAAATTACCTACAATAACTGCTGTTAATACAAAGAGCCTACAATATACACTGCCGACGGCTTAATGAGAGCTCAACATACCAATGAGCAGGTATATTGCGGTTCTGTCTCTCGGATCCGCGACACCAAATTGTTTTATGTTGCAATTTTGGTCTCTGTTTCAGAACCATTACAGCCCTACTACTAAGTAGTCTGCCTACTATTCAGTGAGGAAAAATGTATACAGACTTTTGTATAAATTATCTAGTGTGTTATCACGATTTAAAAAAAAAAAACACACCTAACCTTCATACATGATGTCATCGATGATGTCACTGATGGGCTTACCTGAGCAGGTGAGATCCAGGATGAAGGAAGAGGAAGTTGATTCTACACACTCCCTCAGAGCAGATCCAGACTGAACACAGTCAGACCTGATCCACCACACAGGTCTGACTGAGGACTCCTTTCTCTCTCCTACAGAAACAGCAGAGCCACAGTCCAGATCTCTACAGACAACAGCTGCTTCCTTCAGGGTCCAGAAAGAGACAGAGTATCTCATTGGTCTCCAGTCTCCCTGTTTCAGCTCCAGTGTTCCTGCACAGCGACTGGCTCCTCCCACCAACCTGACATCATCAGCCTCTGAACAGAAACCAGAGAGTCATCAGTAAAACAAGAAAGTGATTTTCATCAGAACAGAAATGAACCAAATCAAAGCTGCAGCTCCTCTTCTACCTGAGCAGGTGAGTCCAACAGCTTTTCCAGGTGAGCAGGTGTTTCTAGCTGAGCCTGAGCTTCTACAGTCCAGGAGAGCAGACTCATGGCCTCCACACTGGAACTCTTTGGTCCACATCGGAGCCTCCACTTCTCCATAGAGCGCCCCCTGGAGGACTGAAGGAGCCCCACAGCCAAGCTCCCTACAGACCACCTCTGCATCCTGCTGGTCAAAGTCAGCTTCACACACTGAGGACCACCTCTGGTTAGACTGGTTAGACTGGTTAGACTTCACCTCCAGTCTGCCTGAGCACAGACTAGTCCCGTTCACCAGCCTGACAGAGTCTGGAGAGATAATAGAAGATGAAATAGAGATAAAGACATCAGACACAAAAGAAAAACATGTCATGAAACAACAATTCAGTGATTCAAGGTGGACTCAGCACAACTCCAACATCAGTTCATCATTAACAACAGAACACATCTTTCTACCAGCACAGACTGCAGCAAGTTCACCAGCACATTTCCATTTAATACTCTGTCACACTTGTTCTCCACGTCTGAACACTTTCAACATGTTTCCAAACAACAGCACAACATCATCTGCGAATCTGCAGATTTCTCTGCTCTGTTCCTTCTGCTCAGCTACTCCACAATCTTTGCTCTCCACACAAACAAGTTCAACACTTTTCATTCTGTCTTAATGTTCTAAGAAGATCTGGAACCCAGAAGAAAAAGCTGCTTAGAAAATGCTCCAACAGCTCTAACAGGGATAGGGGCTGGACTCTTTCCTTTGGCCCCAGGGCCTCCTGAAGCAGCAGACATGTATGTTGTATATACATATATGGGTTGTTGATGTGACATGGCAATTTCACTTTCACAGAAGATTAAAATGAATAAAAATGATTTTGTCATGATTTAAGTGCAGTAAATGGTTAAACCTTTATTTGTTTTACAAGGATCTGTTGTTGTAAAAACAGATTTGTTATTAGATTTCTTTCCAAATTGTTCTATGGTGTGACTGTCTCAAGCATGGTTCAATAAATTACAACTTTTATAAATACTTCAGGCATGATGTTACAAGTGTCTATTTTAGTAAATGGGAATCATTTATTTCATCCATATATTTCTATATTTTGTCACTGAAAAACATGTCCTCTGGTGTGACACCATATCTTAATTTTAATCGGGCAATTCAACTGAAAACCTTATTTAGTTGAAAGACCCGATTAAAGATATGGTACTGAAGCCATATTCATAATTATTGAGATTTTTTTTTTTTTTTGCAAAATTACATTTTCTTTCTTCTCTAACACCAAAATAATTACACAAGGATTGTTCTATCGAGGAGTCAACTTTAATTATGTCGATGATAAGTTTGTTTAAAACACGGTTGATACTGATATTGTTTGTATCAACATTACATATTGAAAGTTAATTAAAAATTCTTTAGTGTAATACCATTTATTTCCGCTTTAATGCAATAACTACCATTATTGTCCTATAGTGTGACACACATAAAAGAACCAAAAATGTGTGTTTATCTCAAAATATATTTAATAAAAACAGTTCAGTATTTCATTAGGGGAGATATTATATATCACTCATCAAAAATGTGTATAACTTTCAACAGTTTTGAAAGGATGACAAAGTCTAACTCACTTTTATTCAAACGGTGCAAGTCCACGTCCAATTCATGGAGGAAAATAGTGTTATTCAAAAGTTCATGTCTAATAAATAACAGTATATGAAAAAAAGTGTCTTACAATTAAGATGAATCTCTTTCATGATTGTTTGTATATTGTTAAAGACTTTTTTTTCTTCATTTAGTTATGTCACACCACAGGACACCTTTACAGTGCAGTTCAGCCAAAATGTAAAAAAAACAGGGAAAGAATGAACAAAATTAGTGACCTTTTATATTTTCCTAAAAATCTGATTTTACACAACATAATATGTTTTTTTTCTTCAAAAATGGTGTTTTACGAGAAAATATTTTTACTACCCATAGGCCTATATATCTTGGTGCATTCAGCAGCAGATTTACTGAGGCAGCCGCTCATCAGACTGTCATGGCTGCCAGAGACAGTCTGCTGCTATGCTAGACTGAGTGTTATAAACTGGGCCGACACATTCTCACTTCCGAGTCGTCACATATGTACGCATGGTAAAGTCAGTTTGTAACGCACTGCGGGAAGTCCTGTAGCATCATATTTCAACGCTACAGGTAGGTGTGTGATATTTTTTATTTTTTATTTTTTTTAAACCTGTCCTGTCCAGCAGCCTGGTATAGAGTATGATGAGCTAGATGGGATGATGAGATTTTACTTTAACAAGAGAGTATTAATATACTCGAAACCTGCAATAGAACAGAGAGGGGGGCTTGGGGAGGAGAAAAACAACAACAAACAAACACAAACAAAAATAAACAATATAAATACTAATAATAGTATAAGACAACCAGCCGAACAGCAGCAATAAACAGCTGACATAGTAAGACAACGAAGGGAAAAATGAAAACAAGAAACAGTCCAGCACACTAAATAAGCAACACAACACAGCCACGAGAGCTGGAATAATAACAATTAATTTAAATAAGTAACTGAAAGAAAAGCATCAGGAATAATTCTACCAGGAAAAGTAGAATACTTGCTTAAGGAGGTGGTTGCGGTGGCTGTTGGGCCATAAACTGGACTTTTACCCAGGAAAGCAGCGTTCGTTTCCATTTGAAACAAAAAGTTTACATTGAATGTTACACAAGTAAAGAATAAAGTGAAATACTGTGGATTTCAAAAGAATTACAAAATCCCTGTAAAAAGAAAAACATATTTTATAGAGAATTTCTGAAACACAGATCTATAGCAGCAGAAAATACATATAAGAAATATAAAAATAAGGAAATTAATATTATAAGAACTTGTAAGATAGAATATTATAGTAAACTATTTGATAACAATTAAATGCTATTAAAGATGAATGGAATATTCTAAACATTATTATTAGAAATGGCACTAGATAGGTTCATTATTCCAATATTTCAGTCATAATGTAAAGAAAATGAATAACATGGAGACTTAGCTGGAAAAATCTCTGTTATACAGATATTTGAAAAATAGATATAACAACGTTATAGAAAGAAACCCTAGTTTAATGTTTCTTGACTGCAGGGACTTTGGTGAAACACATATCTAAATTAATTGCAATCTTTATTCATACTTCAAAATAGAGCTATGAGAATAATCCATAACACTAGATTTTTGGAACACACCAACTCATTTTTACGGTTGCTAGTTAAAGTTAAATTAGTTAGAGTTCATACAGCAGTGATTATGTTCAAGGCTAGCAACTATTTGTTCACTGCGGATATACAGAAAAGGTTCTCTGATAGGGAGGTTACGACTTAAGGGGAAAGTCACATTTTCAGACTTCAGACAACCAGGAAAATGTTATCCTTCTGTGGCGTTTAATTGTGGAACAAACTAAATGGTGATATTAAGCAATGTCCAAAGATATTCTGTTTTAAAAAGATGTACACAAAAAGGATATTCAAGAGGTGCAGAGATGAAGTAGTGTTCCAATAATCACCTGGGGCTTTACGGATTTATATGAAGAAGTATTTGTACAAATATTGTTTTGTTTGTGTGAATATAATTATATGTATTTTCTTTGATTATAGATTTATTATTTTTTGTTATGTAGTTGTTAATTATTGCATTTTGGGTATAAAGGGTAGGAGTACATAAGTTTTACTTCTTCCTACTCATTTTAACACACGTAAATAGATTTTTTAAGTACTGGAAATTATGGAGCTTTTGGTTTTGCTGTTCATCTGTTTTTATAACTATTTTATTTTGTTGTTTTTTTTCATTTTCACATGTTGGAAATAAAGATATGAATAAATCAACAGATGATGTCACTGATGGGCTTACCTGAGCAGGTGACATCCAGGATGGAGGAAGAGGAACCTGATTCTACACACTCCCTCAGAGCAGATCCAGACTGACCACAGTCAGACCTGATCCACCACACAGGTCTGTCTGAGGACTCCTTTCTCTCTCCTACAGAAACAGCAGAGCCACAGTCCAGATCTCTACAGACAACATCTGCTTTCTTCAGGGTCCAGACAGAGTCCATCACTGGTCTCCAGTCTCCCTGATGTTTCAGCTCCAGTGTTCCTGCACAGCGACTGGCTCCTCCCACCAACCTGACATCATCAGGCTCTGAACAGAAACCAGAGAGTCATCAGTAAAACAATAAAGTGAGTTTCATCAGAACAGAAATGAACCAAATCAAAGCTGCAGCTCCTCTTCTACCTGAGCAGGTGAGTCCAACAGCTTTTCCAGGTGAGCAGGTGTTTCTAGCTGAGCCTGAGCTTCTACAGTCCAGGAGAGCAGACTCATGGCCTCCACACTGGAACTCTTTGGTCCACATCGGAGCCTCCACTTCTCCATAGAGCGCCCCCTGGAGGACTGAAGGAGCCCCACAGCCGAGCTCCCTACAGACCACCTCTGCATCCTGCTGGTCAAAGTCAGCTTCACACACTGAGGACCACCTCTGGTTAGACTTCACCTCCAGTCTGCCTGAGCACAGACTAGTCCCGTCCAGCAGCCTGACAGAGTCTGGAGAGATAATAGAAGATGAAGTAGAGATAAGGACAGCAGACGCAAAAGAAAAACATGTCATGAAACAACAATTCAGTGTGGAAATGCAGTCAAATGTGTGTAAAGAATACAGCATGGGACTCAGAACACAACCCTGTGGGGCCCCAGTGCTGAGAGTCAGACCGGGGGACAGATCTTTACTGAGTCTGACTGTCTGTGGGCGTTTGGATAGGAAGTCTTTACCAAACATTTCATTAAGATAGAATGTGATAATATAATTATTATTATTATTATTAATTATAATTTAGTTTTCATGTCTGTGTTGTTTCTCCATCCATCTCCCGTTATTATTCCCCTTGTTTAAGGGCACAACATCAACCTGGGTACATTACTGTCATACATGATGTCATAGATGATGTCACTGATGGGCTTACCTGAGCAGGTGAGATCCAGGATGGAGGAAGAGGAAAATGATGTAGCACACTCCCTCAGAGCAGATCCAGACTGAACACAGTCAGAACTGATCCACCACACAGGTCTGACTGAGGACTCCTTTCTCTCTCCTACAGAAACAGCAGACCCACAGCCCAGATCTCTACAGACAACAGCTGCTTCCTTCAGGGTCCAGTCAGAGTATCTCATTGGTCTCCAGTCTCCCTGATGTTTCAGCTCCAGTGTTCCTGCACAGCGACTGGCTCCTCCCACCAACCTGACATCATCAGGCTCTGAACAGAAACAAGAGAGTCATCAGTAAAGAAGAGAATTCAAGAGACTAAACTAAAACTTTACTGCTGATTCTGCTTCTTTGATTGTTTCTTTCTCTTTTCTTTCTCTCTTTACCTGGTGAAGTGTGTTGTCCTTCAGCCTGGAGTCCTGTGATTGGACAGAAAAAACACTCAGGTTTGACAGCTACATCAACTTGGAGTTCCCCATGTTGCTATTTTGTTGTCCCGTTGTGTGGGAAAGAAAACTAATACAAACAATTCTACTATCACAGCTGTAGGGATTTATGGTTTAAATAGCATCAATAGTTATATTCAATAATGTAATTATTATTATTACTAATTTTTTATTTAATAATTAATAATTGTCAGGGAGTTGAGTTCTGAGGCGGGAAAAACAGAGCTTACGTCCCAAATGCAAGACACAGCAAGAACTGATGCTCTTAGTAGTATTTATCAAACACAAAGAGAAGTGTAAGACTCACATGTAGCGATGGCAAGCAGGAGTCCTAACAAAGGTAATATCCAAAATCGGGAACCAAAATCCAAACAGACAGAATGGTCCAAATATCCATCAGATTGATCCAAAACACACTCGACATGATTTAAACAGACTCTAAACCTACTCTGACATTGTTAATATCCATTCTGTATTCTTTAGTTAAGATAGCGATCAGGTCAGGTAAATCTGTGACGTCATCATAGCGGAACTTCGGGTGAGAGAACTGTGCTGTCATGTTGTGAACATACTAGTTGGTGGGATATTATTACAGTAACGTGTTGTACTTCTTAGAATGTGTAAACGAGATGAGCTTAATTGAAGTTTAATTAATTTGTGTGTTATTTTATTTTACGGCAGTTAAGTGCTGTTACAGAGAGTTAAATGCTAGAGAGATTTCAGAGTGGAAGTTACTAGACGTAACTCCAGTGCTGTAAACGTGTATGTGGCACAAAGAACCATTTCTCTTTAGTTAAAAGACCTACTTCATGTTTCATGTTGGATGTGTGTGTGTATACCCCCCCAGCAGACAGACCCAAGCATTAAATGAAAGGTTTGCTCCCCCTAAGTGCTGTGAGGCAGTTTCGTAAAACCTGCCCCCTCCGGTGAAGCTGAGATAAGACTCTATGCCTGACTGTTAAACTGACATTACCCAGAGACTAACTTCATCCGGAACCAGAACCGTCTTGGACAGAGGTCAGGAAATTCTAAAATGTCCCCCTTTTTAACTACCTCAGACATCAAAGGACCCTCTCACTTTTCACATCCAGTTGTGAAGTTTGTGAGAAAAGCCAGATGGCAGGAAGAACATTGCCAAATTCCTTTGCCTTATTACAGTTTAATTAAATAATATTTAAGTTAAGTCACTTAGCAGGTCTCTTCACTTCAATTTGAGTAGATCTATTACCATGTGTTGTTGGAAAGAAAGTTAATTTGTAGTGCTTTCAGCAGAAATATTATCATGTGTTAAATAAACAATTTTCCTAGCTCCTGAACCAAGGATCGAGTTAAATTTAAATAAAATGGTCAGAGGATCCTTTGTCCTCTCATGGAAGCAGTGTCCCCCCCAGAGGACAAAAAGAAGTATTACTCTGTATTTTATTGTGTATAATCTGATATTATGTTCGTATAACTTGCTTATATATTCTCTAAGTAAGAACGTTTAACAGCCAATATTATCCAGGAAATGTTTAGTTAAGTTTCTTTAATCTGCTGTGATCCTGAAAATGTGTTTAACTGGTAACCATTCTAATCATTACACTGATTACGTAATTGTTTTCCTTCCTTTTCTCAAATGCTTAAAACTAAGAACGGCATAACTGTTTAGATATAGATAGATATTAGAGTTAAGACACAGGAATTTCAGGAGACCAAAAGCCCTCCTCCTGGAGGACACGCCTCTGCTTCGTCTTCCCTCAGCACGCGCATGCAGGAAGGCGCTCCCGTGTCCAAGCAACGCCAACGCCTTAAGAGTCCAGCAACTTATTCAGCCTACATTGTTGAAGTTATTTTTTCTTTTGTTTTGTCAGAGTTATCAGACTGTAAGCCACGCAACCTTGGATTCACTTTAAGTTTTATTTTAGTTGAATTAACTTCTACCGCTCACGCCGAAGTTTGGACCCAGCCACGTGGGTCCGTTACGCCAGCAGCAACACAAAGGACATCAAACTGACAAACCGAGCCAAGGTTAACGGCCTATCACTGCAAGTTTCTTCACCTACCGGCCGAAGCAACGGGCCTCCAGGACAAACCTGCTAGTAAAAAGCCGGTCCTGCAGTGCCTAGCCGTGGACGCCAAGGACTTAAGCGCCAACTAGTCGTGGGGCTGCCCGAACACCAACCGGCTGAGAAACTGCATGTAAGGCTAAAACCCTGCATTTTGTGGTCAAGATTGCGGTCAAATCTTATTCTTTATTGTTAATCCTTTAGCCTTAAATCGTTAATCATTTTAGCCCAAAACTCCTAGCCAAATTTAACCGGAATTTCAGGTGGGGCCCCAAACAAGAGTTTTATGAATTCATATTTCTGAATATTAATATTCATAATTTTATTAACAGTACAAAGGCTCACAACAACATGTGTTGAAACACACTTGGACAGAATTAGCAGGTGGAGTTTTGAATATGAGATCTGGCTCTAGTGAAGGAAGTTAATGATTCCTACAACAAAGGCTGAAGGTCTCAGTCCGTCTGAAACTAAAAATCAGCAGGTAAACAGAAACGCAACGCTGACGTCACATGTGTACATGACATTGGCATGCAGAAAGACGACTAAGTGAGATGGAAATGTAAATCTTAAAACTTGTTTTTCTGTGATAATGACTCTTATATGCGTTCCCTAGTGATATGACAGTTATCGTTTTAATCAGCAGATAAAGTATTATTTACTCATGTGAAACCAATGCTGGCTCCAATCAATCTGGTGGTCAAGCCCTGCCAGCCAATGAATGTTTGAAAACTCCACCAAGCCCACTTCTTTATTTAAGCTGCGGGCCCTAGAGCTCAAAGCTCTTCTTTTTTGGAAAACAGAGCAGACTGGTTTCCCCTGGTTGAAAGGGGGATTCTATTAATAATTTCTATTGAAAACAAAGAAAGAACAGTAAGAGCTCAGTATAGCATTTAGTAGGGTCTTGTGAGACTGCCTACACCTACACACCTCATTACAGACAACTAAAGATTTGGTTGTTAAGGAACTCATTCCAGATTATGTTCTGATGCTGTACTCCCTGAAGCTGCTGGGGAGGAGTGGGGGGTTCACTAGGACAGTTTTTGAACCTGGACATTTGATACTCGAGGTCGGCTAGAACCTTGTATTGAAACTAGCTTGTTATCAGGGGTCTCCCTCCATCCTGACTGGAATCTGAACCATATTGGTCCTTGGGTTGGTGGAGAGAGCGGGGTTTCCTTTGGGTTGATACTTATTTATGGTAATTCATACCAAAATCACACCTGAACACAACCAAAGTTATACATTACTGTCACACAAACTAATGATGGTCATATACCGTCCACCACGACAAAACTTTGTGGACGTGCTGAACACACTGCTGTCTGCTTCAATCTCAGAGCCTGACTCTCTGTTACTTGTCCTTGGTGACGAGAACATTCACTTAGACAAATCAAACTCAGCAGACTTCCTGTCTCTGATTCAGTCCTTTGATCTACAAGGTACAAGGTTGTTTATTAGTCATTATTCAGCACAAGGCTGCATAACGAAATTAAATTTGTAAAGATAAAGGTGGTCTCCGTCCTGATCAAAATGAACCATCGTTCATTTTGTTTCTAATTTGAGAGCTTTTTTTGGATGTGTCATCTTTTAAAACAGACGGCTGCTATGGAAGCTAATTGCTACTGCCCTCTTTCGTCTCTCTCCAAACGGAGGTGCAGAAAGGTTGCTTGCACTCTTTTCCTGCTGGCCACAATATAATATTTGCACAACGAGAATGTTCATTTGTCAAATTTGAACCTCGAGTTAACTTGGTGCTGCAGGTATTAGGATACTGTTAAAAAACCAATCAATGTCAAGTATGGGAAGACGCATCCCAACGTGGACGGTGACGACAGCACGCAGGTCTGTCAGGTAAAGTTCTTTACTGCGCTCGCATAATTGCATTGTGTAACCAAACCAAAACTACACAAATGTATCAAAACATGAACTTTGGTTTGGCCCTTGGTTAGTAAAGGGGCCACGGGTAGTTCTCAGGGACCTGTAGTGGTGAGGTTTCAGATTGCATTGGATTGATTTATGAATCAATTTTCTGAATATTGTCTAGACTGAATGTTCTAAATGAGATTGTTGCCACACTTTGTTATAACAGACTGTAATTAGTAATGTTACCGTACTGAACGGGTCTTCCACTGTTTGTTGTCCTGCATCGCTACGTTGCATTGTTGTATATTATGTGGGTCACTAAAGCTACGTTCAGACTGCAGGCCAAAGGGACCCAAATCTGATTTTTTTTGCTCACATGTGACCCAGATCTGATCTGTTTATGACAGTGTGAACAGGCCATGACAGTAGTGACTAGTGAATTTATGAACTTTTGAGCGTTAAACACTTCATTTCATATTCTGGTGAAAATTTATGCTGGAAAAGTTCTTATTTATGTAAAAGGAAAGACAAAATTGAGGCAGCTGGTGACAGTTTAAAATATTAAAATATAACAGTGTAAAGAAGTCCTAATAGCGCCAAGCAGCAGCCCTGAGAGTTTTAGTGACGTCACCGCTGCATGCACACAATGCACACAATAACCACGATGGCTACAGCTGTCACATTTGGACTAGACTGTCCCAGAGAGGTAACATTTTTTATTTAAACATAGTTCCAGATTTGTGAAACTTTAATTTTGTTTGTAAAAATACTAAACTGTGAGAATTCACTTCTTTGTTCACACCGAGCAGTCTGGCGATAACGCTGCCTCTGATTGGTTAGAACCCCTTGCCCACGTTGGTTAGGCTGGTTAAGGTCAGGGTTATGATGGGTTAGGGTTAGCCAATCAGAGGCAG